TTGGAGACACTACAAGATATGGCTGCCAACCGATGTCAGTGGCGTTCTTGTTGTCAGTTTCTATCCAGATTGCCTGAGTGAATGTCTGGAGGTGTAGGCATCTCGGAATGATTGTGTTAAGGTAGCACTAAGTCCTTTCCCCGTCCACCTTTATTCTTTTCTTTACAATAAGGCTTTCAAATAATTCATGGTTGTACGGCAGTGAAGCATCGGCGTTGAACACTGACGTCATGCTGTCGATGATGATGATGATGATGAAGGTAATCTCGATTATTTAAGCTGATACGATTATTCTAAGCTAAAACTTAGGCTATGGAAGTATGGGTGACATCTTTTTATTGCTGTCAGACAAAAAGACGGCCTAATATGCTAATTTCCGTGTCGTCTCTTCTGCATAGAGCACCGCAAGACTATTCTGTCCTAGACGGGAGTTTATCCCGGAAACGCTTCAAGAGACCAAGTGTAAGTGGGGTTTTCTGAGGACTCATCACTCCTCTCTACAACATCCCAAGTGTGCGTAGATCTTGTATTCCTCAGTCTGTCTCATTATGTGGTCTCTAACCTTGACGACACACGAAATTCCCTGGTTTGAACATCATTTTATTACTTGCTCGAATCTTGAGTGCGTCGGCCGAAGGTGTTTTGACCGGGTGTGTGGGTATCTGCGCTGAAATTCTTGCGCAATATCGGATACTCACTTTGTTGTTCGAGTTTCTTCAATAGCGCTTAGTCCATGTTGCTTACTGCTCTTGTAGACAAGGTACACAGAGCTTTTGGTTCTGGGATTATGAACTTTTGGTGTGTTTCACTCTTCATCTCTCTGGTATGGTTAAACGTGTGTTAGCGTTTCCGGCTGCTGTGATCTCATGGTTAGTGTGTGTAATCTCCCATTAGTTATAGCCTTATTCGGAAAATCATGTCCGAAGTGTGACAAACAAGCGCCACCACTTGTACGTATTTGGTTAAGTCAGACCGAATGACCGTTCTTACGACGAATTTCGTTCACCTAATCAACTCCTTAGAGATGTATAACTGTACAGCAGCGTACGATATATGTGTAAGGCATATTTTTGTAGTTCGCAACAATTATCAGCACGAACACTGGAGGTCGGAATTTGTGTAGTCAGACTCATCCAAAGCGTGCTACTCGCCGCTGGCTATCGCTTTTGAGTGATCGTGTCAGATTTTTTTTACTGACATCGAGAACAAATGTGTCCACATCTCACTTGTTTCTCCCCTAAACTTGTAGACCGAACACGAATGTTTTACTGGGATGCCTTTGAATAACGGTCAAGCACCGTACTGTGACTCCATGTACAGCGCCCATTCCGTTCAGAACAGTTCTGACCTGATTGGGTCAGTGCGCACTTCCACTATGAGGAATAGTTGTGTAAGGGTTTTTTATGACTCCGCTGTTATTAACATTCCTATAGGCTTTATATGACACTCTGGAGACCATATCCCCTCGTCCACCAGACTGTCAACTTCAGCTAGTCAACACCTGAGCAGTTCCGAGGATGCCATTCCAACAAGCTGCTTTGCTGTTAACAAGAAGGTACTGATCACGAATTATGGTGCATACTGAGTGGACGTCAAGTACCTATCATCCACTTTCATGCAATATACAAGTTAAGGGCACTACCCAGAATAGGCTCTCGACAACGTTTCGAATTCGCCTTCAGGATCTATTGTAATGAGGCATACTCATCTTCCCGGTTTATGCAAATACCACAAAATCCTGAAATAAGTAACGTAAACCCTAGAGCATATGCTCGTATTCAGTGCTCGCTACCGCTCGATAAGTTGCCAAACTGATTCTTTTCAGGCAAGCTTACGGAGGATACGAATACGTATAAAGGAGTTGTTATCAAATATAATGAACCCCCGGATGCTCGTAAGCCTACTGAACACTGGCGCTTGTATCAGTTCAAGGGAAATGAGTGCCTTCCAATCTTGCATATTCATCGGCAAAGTGGTTTCCTGATTGGTCGTGACCGGAAAATAGCAGATATCCCAATGGACCATCCGAGCATTTCCAAGCAACACGCCGTCTTGCAATATCGATTTGTACGTATTTGATTGTGACTATTTCCTGTGTAGTTTTCATACGCTTCTGATTTCACATTATTGACAACAGCGCTAATATTGGGCTTAACTGTCCGAAATTCCTGATCAAATAGAGGAAGGTCATGACTCTAATCCCAACGCGTTATAAGCTTCCGACGTACCTAAATACTCAGATAATCTTAATAGAAACTTAAGTTAAGGGCGCCGCTGTGGTTGGTGCCTCGTTGTATCCGAATAGTGAAGCATTTTCACACTGACTAGCCCAGTCTATCCACTGCCTGATCGAAACCGTGAGTCTATGAGTTTGTCTATCTTGTTCAAAGCCCTTTCAAAACTCATGTAGCACGAAATCTAGCACAAACAGCATTCTATCTGGGAAGTGACAGTATTCATCACCCGTGACGGAACTATGGTTGTGTACTTGTGAAGGCTTGTCTAAATGGACTGTTTTCCAGGGTAGTTGTGCATCTGGGAAGTGCACCACCCGTGTCGGAACTATGGCTGTGTGCTTGTGTAGGTTTGTCTAAATGGACTGTTTTCCAGGGTAGTAGGGTTTCCGTATATGTGCGACGTGCACAGTGTGAATCTCAGTTGAGGTAGCACGGCAATGCTGCAGTACTTATTCTGATTCTAGCCGCTTTTTGCAGTGTTAAAACCGTGGGGAAAACGGCTTTCGTTGAAATACTGATTCCTCCCATCCGTTTAACAGGTGACTCAGCCGAAACAGAGTTGTGGTTAGGGTGGACGCATGCCCTGGTGGACTTAGATCGAAAACTTTGTGCACATAATCCTGGTTGATTCGGTTTATTCAGTAAGGTTTCACTGCAAATGTTTTATATTATCGGTTGGTGAAAGTTAGTAAACATCTGTGCACCTGCATCTTGCAGTCCCACAGGTAAAAGTGCTTCATTTGTTTGACATTGGCCAAGTGTGCGTACTAACTGTTTCTTATCTGTTCAGACCTGTTTACTTAACTCCTATGCCATTAAAAGACGTCGTGTGATCCCTTTAAAACCGCTTTCATCACTAGTCGTACTTCAAGATTGTCTTATTGGATATTCCTGTGGTTAGATGTCTTGTTGCTTGTTCCATGCCTTAGATACGGTTAACCATACTGGGGCAAAGACGGATGAATGTCCTTGCTTGTAACTATTGTACTATCAGCTTGATCCGTCTGTTGCACCTTAACTGGAATATGCCGGAAACTTGTCTCTGAATTTCTCGTACCACTTACTTTTAAAAATGCCACCATCCATGCCGTAAGACCATTGGCTGAGAATTATTGTCTCCTATACTCTACCGGTGTACCCTTTTTCGAGATCCTACCTCGTCCGGTTATCGTTTTGGGGTACCCGGTTCTCCTTTTCGTAAATCTTGTTAATCTCTGGAATAGTCAATAAAATGCACGCACCAACACTTGGATGGCCTGCCATTGTACTTCAACAGCGGACGCCCATACATGAGTTATACATTGTTCTGTGCCACGCTGTTCACAGTGATGTTGTGTAACTCCGTGCGAATTCTTCCGGCGTTTTTCACGATAAGTAATTCGTATTGTTCACAACATTGTTATGTATTATTCCGGAGATAATGCAATAAGTGGAGAAAACGAAAATAGAACTTAAGTTAGTCATAGGCTTACCACCAATGCGTTTGTTTTCGGGATATGCACTTTCCCTCGTTGTTTCAACCTGCATTTGTGAAAACTCGTGGTGGAATCTGTTGCACTCAGCGCCGGAGCTGATCGCTGTTATCCAGCTCAACCAAACTCACTGCCACTTGAAATAAAAAAACGGTGCTTGTTTGTATGGTTGGCTTATGCCTCAACGGACGGCGAGAAAGATACTTTCTATCTAGAGTTATCCGGGCTCATTCGTCAAGCAAGACACACTGACTGTCCAAGCTGGTCGTCTGAGCGCCTGATTCGGATCACACCACGGGCACGCCCGACAGATCGCTTTCTTTCAGAACCTTGCGATTCAGCCAATCCACCACCTCCTGGGAACCACCATAGCTAAGTACTGTCGATCCGAGCCAGCTCAACTACTCTCTACAGTGAAGAAAAGATCGTCCAGCCGCAGCACCCTTTCGGTGCCTAGCTGCCATGCCATCCGAAGGTTGCACGATGGCTGGGATACTGCCAGGTTGCCCAAGCCTAGACAAGGGAAGTCGAGAGGCAGAGGTCGGGTTCGAACCACGTACCATGTTGTTGTGTTGGTCAAAAACCTGGCCGCTGTTTCCTGAGACCATTAAAAATTCTGGTTTTGATCATCGTTGTATTGGGAACATCGCCATGGCGGGAACACCGAATGTTTTTCGGACGAAATAACTCCACCACGATAGACGAACTCATCGCATTCCATTGGTTGTACTGGCTTGGTCACGTGCTTCATATGCCAGTCGAGTTTAGATCTCTCCGTTGTTGGAGCGCGAGATCACTGACCGGAAGGTCCTTGATTTGAACTCAGCCTCTGCACCCCTGATCTTATTCAGGTTTGGGTGATCTGGCAGTATCTCTGCACTCGTGCTTTCTTCGGTTGGCACGGCGGCCAGGCACCGAAAGGGTGTTGCAGCTGGACGGGTTATGCTAGTCGATCGAATTCCTCGGACAGCCCTTTCCGCACAACCACGCGAAGGATGAAAACGAACCAACCCGACGTATGAAAGCCATTATGAACAAACTCAGCTCTCGCGGTCATTGGCGTCTCTCTGGATGGGGACCCCGAGACATGAAACATCGATGGTCAGAAATATTGTCAGACATGGCCCAGTCATGGTCATACATCCAAGTACACATATATCAGCACACAACTTCCCCTCTCGACCTACCCGATGGAAAGTTCGCTGACACCCCTGTATATGCTTTGAGTTGCACTGACTGCGATGTTTTAGTTGCTTCAAATATCACGTGGCCTGTTTCCTTAACGCATTTGTTTGATTTAGGCACATCGACTTGTGGTACTTTTATGCCAAATGGCTAATCGTTTTTTTTCGGATTCCGTTGATTCTCCTACTCGCGCTTAATCAGTACTTACAACAGCTGCTGTTACCAGCAGAAGCGAATTGCTTTGCTATACCGTTAATAATCGGGTAACTGGACAAAACTGATTCCCCATTCTCTTCGCTTCAGGTTCGCGGCCTTGTACGTCTCTATGTGATTGACCTGGAGTCGGCAAATGGGACCTATTTGAATAACAAACGTATTGAGCCTCGACGCTACTATGAACTACTTCAGAAAGATGTAATCAAATTTGGCTATTCTTCACGCGAGTATGTGGTGATGACGGCTAATTTGGATGAAGATGAGATGGGAACACCCGAGGAAGCTGCTTAGACCTATTTTGATCTTCCCAGTGTTGTTCGCTGTACAAATTTGTAAATATATCCCTAGACTTCTTCTCTATCGCTACCTGTCACTGGTACTTCACTTCATTCGGTATATATTGTTTCCTCATTGACGTCCAATGCGACTGGAGAAGGCGTTTGAAACAGCGCTTATGTGGGCAGTAAGATGAGGATGAAATATTGTCCTTTGCTGCTGTCCCATCTACTTCGAACTTCCGTGGACAGAAAGCATTACACAATAATGGGCGTTTAGTCGTCAGACAGGTATCAGATGCTCTCACTTATTTGTTCGAAAGCATAATTTTGACCATGAAATTCGTCCATGAGTTGTAGGTGGTCGCACGATTAGTAGAATTTGGTGTGGTTCCATTAAACGAGGGGGGAACTGTTCAAACGAGATTGATGTAAATGTGGAATCGTCAATGAGCTGTACCTTCCACCCGATGGGAGACAAGTTGTCCTCAACAATTTAGTTTGTGACACGATATCTTTCAGATTTTTCCACCAAAATCGTCAATATCAGCATCTATCTATCGGCCACCCGTTCACTTGAATTTTCGCTCCCCTTGAATAGTTTTCGTCCCACTGGAGAGTCGACTAGTCTGGGGTTCAGAAGTTAGACGGATAGTGAGTTTCGTGCACGCCAAACGCTTACTTAAGTTTGAAGTCGCCCAACTAAGTATTGGCGGAAACGGCACAGTCGCGTAGTCAGTTGCGCTTGTGCATCACTATGTAACTGCCCAGTTCCCGAAATTATTGAATATGCCATCGACTCCAGTGCTTGGTCATATCTCCTACACTGTCCCACTTTGCGGTGATCGAGACTGTACGTGGTTTATAGTTAAAAAATTCGACTGAATTGAATGGATTTTACTCAGCCACACTCCGTTGTAAAGTTTACAATGACAGCCTCCGGAGAAGTCAAGATGACAAAAAAAGATGATTTGGTGGGATTCTGATGTATAATTTATGGTGGACAAAAAGTTTGTATGACTAATTGGAAAACGAAACTGAGGAATTCGCAAATGCTGTGTCAATTCATCAAAAGCCACGGAATTTTTAAAACGCCCCGAAAAAGCGGTATATAAGGTAAATATTGGCACGCGTGTGTGCATATCAACCCTGGGCATCAGACAGGCTGCTAAACGGTCGTGCATGTATTTGCCGCGCTAGCTTTAGGCTACTGACAAATGTTTAGTAGCGAAAACTATTGCCTATCCACCAAGACCCATTTCGTTCGCGGCTACCTGTTACGCGGGTCGATACCTTGACGCGCTTGGTTCATTAGATGTGAGGTAGTGTTTTGGTTTCCTAATAAAGTAAACATAAATTAGTTTCGTTCTTATTTTACCTGAGTTGTACCACTCGAAGGTGTTGTGGCTACCTCACAAATCTCCGCCTTATAATCATCGTTTCCTGAATTTTGCTTTTTTCCGTTTTCACTCAGTTTTGCAGTATTCACAATGCTCCCGTAGTACGTTCGTCAAATGTATCCATAACCTGAAACTGTCCGTTAGTCGGTGTACTAAATTCCTGAGTAATCATTGAGCCGATTATACAAGTGGTGATCAATACTTCCAAGCCTCAACAACCACTCATTGTTTGTATTGTGGGTCATCAGGCAGGCGCAGTCCCCGAGTTTCCGTCAACCTCATGTTCTACTTGAACCCGAGTCGAACTGTTTTTGGAGAAATACACTCATTTGCAAATAAATCTGGTTTTCACGAGAGACTAAACTGAAACCGGTCGTGTGCTGTCGAAGTGTTTTCAGCAACCTTGTGAGTAGTTTCCTCTATGAAAATATACTGCGACATCTCGAATACCGTGCCAACTGAAACATGAGGCGGCCTGTGTACTGCAGATTCAGTTGTAGAATATCATAAACGAGAGATTCAGTGGAGTCTCGTGAAAACCAACTTGATTTGCAAATGACTGTTTTCTCGAATTTCCACAGTACTTTGCTTGCGGAACGCACCCCCTCCGAACACATTCAATCACAGGTAGGCTGATCTCAACTCAGCAGGATAACACACTAGGTTGGTGCCAATGACGAGCGCAGTTTTGAGCATTCTATACATGCGGTTTTTCTCTGAAGGCGACTCACTCTGGATCACTTGTTCCCTTCCTGACGCTCATCAACCCCCCCCCCCCAGTGAATTAGTCCCCGGACTACGCGTCCGCATTGATATTTACTGTGTCGTGGGAGTAGCCGTCATCCCAATCATTGTACCAGTGATTAGAAGGGTGCGAGCAGCACAAGAGCTGCTCTGAGTGTAATCACCTCTGAATATCTTTTACCAGATGGAACAGTCAAACTGTAGCCATTGCTGCACACTCGTGTTCTCACCAAAAACACGACTGGTTAATTCAACCTGCCCATCGATACCACAACAACCAAGGGTTATGTTTTGTTATAAGAGTAGATCCACCAACAAGGTGGGAATTTCGATCACGTCATACATTACAACCGGACACAAACGAATGATTTCGAGTAATCCGAAAGGTGCATCGTGGGAGTTCGTAATCGATCCAAACAATCGAACCAAACAACCCGAACATTCGCAATATGGCGACGTCGCATGCAACAAACTTTGAGTCTGTTTTGCCAATATCTGCTTGGTTGATTAAACCAACAGCCAGTTGGGTCTCCTGTAATTTTATTTTATTTTGTCTCCTTTCTTAATCACCCGATCGATGCCAACTGTTCACTTTAACCATCACCGTTGGTCCAACCTCTAGAACTATGCTTACTTGATTACAAGATCCGAAAAACATGATTTCATGTTACTGGTAAAATCAGGAGATTATCCTATCACAATATGACGATAGTCCATCGTTGATAGAACCCCCTAGATTTACACGGTTTCGGGTAATTTCAGGATGTGGCTATAGTCTGCAAAAAATTCGACTTACGTTTAAACTGGTGAAATGATTTATCAGGTCAACTCCCAGACTCTATGACGTCAGTCACGCTCACTATTACCCTATGAACTAGACACGACGCCACTCATCCTATGAGCCTGGTTTGGCACATACGCCATATGAGCGATAAACGCATTGGACCCTTGCAAATCGTTGAATAGCATGTAGTAATTTTGGGATGCACTGCGCATTCGTATTTTACCTGACATCGAATCTGTCTACCCACTTAGAAATGCCATAACTGCTTGAGATAGTCCATTTTCCGTTGGCTGAAAATCAAGTTCCATTCATATCATTCCCTTAGTGATGAAGTCGATAATCCATTCTTTGTGAACTTGTACTTCTCTCTGCCATTGAAGTGCTCTCTATGATGAATAGGCCTGGGTAGTGGCCATTCGTTGATAATTGGTCACTGTCAGATAAAGACTCGTGACTTGCACACCCCCTCAACGCCACGTCCGTATACTTTCGTTTATGCACAGGTATCCAATCGATAAACATTTTACAACCGACTGGTTATGAACGACAGTACGCTTTCAAGGCTTCAGGACTTTTGTTCGATCACCTCAGACCGAACGAAACACACCTAGTTGTGAATAGATGCAGATTTACTTAGTCACGAAGATTCAACTTTCAGCGAAAATTACGTCCTTCACAATCGATTAGTTCAGACTGTTGCATTCTGCAAAAATAGCTAAAGTTTATTAACATTGGATGTTTTTGGGATGGATAACGTCATGATCTGGAGACTGTGTATGTATCCGAATGTCGTTGGGTGATTCGACACACTCGTCACGTCTCGAAGAGAAATGTCGAATTACGGTGACGCTTCTTTCTTCTGTTAAGTGTAACAAACCCTGGAATGCGTGTGGCTGAAACACTAACCTTTTCGTTTGACTTGTCTCTTTAAAATCCAGGTTAATATTGTCTTGTCCATTGCTTTACTTTGTTCGTTAATGTGTGTAGGAAGAGGTAGTAATGTTCATGTGCCCAAACTTTTCCGACCAATCACAAATTAGGCAAAACCAGTCATAGCGATACCGACACATAGTTAGCCTCGGTGTTGGTTTTCTCCCATTTAGTTGGCTACTCCTAGGCCACGGCAAGAGTCTCACAATTGGTGTGTTTTGCAAGCGCTGACCAGCCAGACTTTTCATTATCTGGATCAGTGACTATCGTGACATTTTATTTGGGGGTACAAAGATGAAGGAGTGTTAGCGAATGTACACTCATTTGCAAACTAATTTGGTTTTTCAAGAGACTCACCTGGAACCCAGCTGAATCTCTCGTTTGTGATGTTTCCAGGCTGTCGACGGATTTTCAGCAACCTTATGAGTAGTATATTACGATGATATACATTAAGGGGTATTTTTACCAGTTACACTGGCGCTTCTTGCGGTCGTGCGTGAGAGGTTTTCTTAGGCAGTGTCTGAAGACTGCACCAGAATGTCATTCTCCCATGTACACCACTAGCAGGCGTCACAAGATTAATTGAAGTTCGATCCTGCGAATGAAGTCGCTCAGGCATAACAAGCCGAGTGGCAGCGTACAGCTGAAGGGAATTATCGGCTATGCGTATCTTACGGATCTCTAAGGGGTCTAGAAGCCACGGCTTTCCGGCAAGTAGCTGTGCACTTTACCCGTCAACCAATAGTGTGACTTGTACAGGATCCACGTGATCCACTGTTGAATGCCTGCTCGAGTGACGACCTCTACGAAAGGACGGTCCGGTCGGTGACTTGCCATATCATTTTATTATTTAAAAGGTTAGCTACAGTTTACTGTATTAAGGATAGATGAAGTTAAACTAAAGTCTATGGCTATGATAAAGTCTATGAATAAAGTCTAATCGTACCTGTTGATCGGCCTCTCCAATGCTGAACCCTTGTTCCCACGTTATTTGGGCCAGCGACAGTGGTGTAGCACATAGCACCTATTTGTTCAAACGAGAGTGATAGGAAGGTGATTTCACTGAGTCAGTCTATACCGATGTATCGGCCCATTCTCACTGAAAAGGCTATTAATCGTGCACACAGTCGTATGATCATCAGGTTAAAGACCGTTGACGTGATGACTAAAGTAACTAACATACTCACGTGAACATGAAGATTCTGATGCAG